ATATATATATATATATATATATATATATATATATGTAGTAGTGAAAAGGCTAGGGTTGAAGCTCTGTCTTTGTTACTTGCAAGCTGTATGATTTTGTGCAAGGTACTAACTTCAATGAGTTTCAGTTTCCCCCTCTATAAAATAGGAAATAAATACACATGCAGTAGAGTGGTTGCAGAAATTACATAATATTATCCAGGATAATGTGTAATATGTAATAAACACTAAATAAATATCAGATTCTTTCTACAATTCTGCAGCACACATGGTCTTCACCACCAATTTAATACTTTTATTGTTCACTGTTTTATGAGCATATACCTTGACTCTTTAACCAGGCCAAAATCTCCTTTAAGGTAAAAATTTTCTTTATCTCCAGTTTACATAGAATAGTTCTGAGAACACTGTAGAACTCCAATCCATATTTAATATTTTTGTTAGTTAATTTTTGTCAATTATTAACCTGATTATTACTGTTAATTGATCATTTGTTTTAACCTCTTACTAAAGTCAGCTAGAAGGGGTGACTCATCTTCTGCTAAGGAGGTCATGAAAATAGGACTTTATTGGGGCTGTGTAGAAGATGAATGGAGATGTGAGGAGTCTCTAAATGACCCCACTCCCAGAAGGTCAGCTGTACGTTTCAATGAATAAGTATCAGTATAACTTATTCAGTGAATAAGTTATAAATCCACTGTAAGAGCAAAAATCCCCAGCCTCAGCTGATACGAGCCTAGTATATCATATTTTTTTTTCAGTGAGGATATAGCTGCTCTCGGCACAAGAAGTACGCAAATGTCTTCATTTGTACCAGCTCAAACATCACCCACTTAGAGCAATCCTCTTTAAAAACCTTATCTAAAAGAGCCTTGATTCTCTTTCCCCAGTCACTCTCTATCTACCTACGATTTTAAATTTCCTCAAAGTAATTGTTGCAATCTGAAATTACATGATGCACTTATGTACTCGTGTGTTCAATATCAGTCTTCCACTAGACCATGAGCTCCTTGAAGGCAGGAACTTGCCTAATTGTTCACTGTAATGCCCTCGGTGCCTAGAGCCCTACTGGACAAAGAATACAAAGAGAAAAGGAAAAAAAAAAAACTGCTGTCGAGTCGATCCCTACTCATAGTGATGCCTCCTTGGTTTTCCGAGGAAATAGATTGCCCAACCTTCCTTCCAAGGAATGGCTGGTGGGTTTGAAGCGCCAGCCTTCTGGTTAGCAGTCAAATGCCTTAAGCACTACGCCACCAGAGCTCCCATGGGCATGAAATAAGTATTTATTGAATTGAGCAGGATGGATGAAGGAGGCTGGTCATGGCCATGGCCCTGTCTAGAAATCAGATCTCCAACTGACAATCATAAGCAGAAAGGTTTTTGTGAAAATTTATCTTTGTGGCTGAGTTTCCTTGGGAAAGCAACTCTTCTTTAGTTTGCTAATGGAAATTGGTACAGCAGAGCTTCTTTGAAATCTTCAGAGTACTAAGCAATGAATCAAACATTTGGCATGAAACAAACAGCTCTGCCCTTGGATCACAGCCCCACTGTTCCCGCTAATGAAAATATTCCATAGAAAAGGATATTATTCTACAGGCAGCAAGAAGTTTCTGGTTATCTCCAGCTTTATTAAATTACTGTTTGAATTGAGATGTTATCATTTTCCCTCCATAACTCATTTACTTTATTGTCTTTTAAAATGTTATTTCATTCTTAACCCACCATTTTTCACTTCTATTAAAATTCTGAGCATTCTTTAAAGCTCAGTCAAGTTCTGCCTCCCATAATGAAAACAAGCTCAATCTCACCTTCTTACAGAGTATCTCCTCTGATTTTTCAGAACCTTTTATGTCTTTTGCCTAATATGTGCATGACTGCCTGAAAAGTAAACATTTTCAAGGAAGAAACCATGATGTTCTTTTCTACCTTCCTTTATGCATAGCAGGCACTTGCTAGCTGCTATCTAAATTTACATTAATCTACCAGAAAATACTGTATGAGAACAAAAAAAAGGTGTTTTAATTTGTTGTTGTGTTGTTACGTGCTGTCAAGTCGGCCTCAACTCATAGCCACCCCTCCTTGGGTTTCTGAGGAGGTATCACTACAGAAGTAGATTGCCCAACCTTCCGAGGAGTGGCTGGTGGGTTTTAACTGCCAGCCTCCTGGTTAGCAGTCTTAGGCACTGGTTATCAGCCTTAGGCACTAAGCTACCAGAGCTCCTGCATTTTAATTTAGGTTCCATTAATTTACAATGAATAATAATTCAGTCATGCAACCTTTTGCACTGTTTTTGAAAATTGGTTTGGTAGACAAATTCATAGGAATGAGGGAGAAAGTGGGAAGAGTTGTTACATTGTGGGGAATTGCAGTCAATAACATAAAACAAAATGTGTATGAACTGCTGTACGGAATATGAATTTGCTCTGTGATCTTTCACCTAAATCACAATAAAAATTTAAAAAAAAAAAGAATATGTATTAAAATTCTATAAAAGGCCAGGAACTGTCCTGGCATAGAGAATACAAAGATGAACAAAACAGAAATTCCTCAAGTAACCTGAGTAGGGGTAGAGCATCAATCTATAGAATAATCCTTTTAATTAATAGCCCTTTGTAATATGTGTGCCAAGTATGATGAATTATCCCCACTAAAGAGAATTGGGTAGAGTATATTCTTCACAATTCATTATCCAGTTTACAATAAAAGAACCATTTTTATTACTTTCTCTGGTACATACAGAAACATATACTATAATTCAAATGTCATTGACCTGGATCATTCTAATTTCTGTCCAAATAACAGAAACTTTCTGTATTTAATACTCTAAATGATTCTTGGAATTAATCTTCCACTATCAAATGAATATATTGCTTGGTGTATTATGATTCTCTATTACCTGAAGACGTCAAAGAGTATTAAACCAGTAAATGATAGTTGATAAGCTGCTAAATCAGAAAGAACCATAAGCTTCATATGTAGTTGTTTTCAGTGGGCCATTATGTACTTGAGATACAGATAGGAATATCTTTTTTTTTTTTTTTAATTTAGAGGGCTTTGATACCCAGAGAGCCTACAATTCACAGAGGCACTCAGTCATCATTCCAACTGTTTTGGCAATAATTTGATGTCTGTTGGAATTAACTGACATGTCACTATTTGAAGTTATTTATAAAACCAAAGCATTGATTAAGAGTTTTACTCCCCAAAACTAAGCTCCATTTCCAATGAATGAGTGTGGTAGTGGGCAACCTGAACCCCAAATCAAACCCTCTTGGTAGAATTGGTCAGTGGGCTCCGAGTGTAACCATCCACCAGGAAACAGTCTGGAGTAGGAGGTGAAAGCAGATTTCAAGTCCTGGCTCTGCTGCTCCTCTGCCAAAAGGGCCCACTACAGTCCTAGTTCTCCATTTACAAAACAATTTGTCCTGTCCTGTTCACTTCTCATGGTTCTTTATTGTGAGGTTCAAATGAGATAATATATAACAATGCTTGAAGATGGTATAGGCCTAGGCATTTTATCTGCTATAAATGGGCATTTGGTGCTACTCTGGTGGTGTGTTCAAGGTGGAGGATACATGTTTACAATGAAACATGTCAAGTAAAGCCCAGCTTCAGAGGCTCTCCTGTCTTTACCCCTTGAGTTGAATAAGAATAATATTTCCTGATTGTCCAGATGGCTAATAGAAGTACAGGGACTACAATTGATTGACCTGGTGCTAATTGCACAGGTCTCAAAGTCAGACTGGCTCAATCACTTCCTATCTGAGAGCCTTAGTCAAGTTATTTCATTTTTTTCAAAGCACATTTTCTGATCTATAAAAAGGAAATAAAAATAATACCTATCTCACAGAATTATGGGAAGATTTAAATGATATAATCATAATGATGAAATGTTTGGCCCACCACCAGTTTGTCATACCTTGATCAGTTTGTCATACCTTGTGTATGTCATACCTTGTCATATGTCAGTTTATCATACCTTGGTGGTTTGCATGTTGCCAGGATGCTGGAAGCCACACCACCAGTATTTCAAATACTAGCAGGGTCACTCATGGGGGACAGATTTCAGCAGAGCTTTCAGACTAGACAGACTAAGAACATCTCTTCCAAAAATTGTTGTTGTTGGTGTTGTTGTTATGTGCCGTCGAGTCAGATCTGACTCATAGTGACCACTCTTTGAGTTTCTGAGGCAGTATCACTATGGAAGTAGATTGCCCAACCTTCCTTCCGAGGAGTGGCTGGTAAGTTTGAATTGCCAGCCTTCTGGTTAGCAGTCAAGTGCCTTAGGCTCTATGCTACCAGAGCTCTAATGAAAATCCTATGTATTATAATAGAATATTTTCTGATATAGTGCTGGAAGATGAGTCCTCTAGGTTAGAAGGCACTCAAAATACCCAGTAGCTGCAACAATGGACTTGAGCATACCAATGATCATAAAGATGGTACAGTTCTGAGGAATGTTTTGTTCTATCATACATGAGGTCACATGAGTCAGAGCCAGCCCACTGGTACCTAACAACAATGTGACACATAGCAACACTGAAGAGTACTACTAAAGTCACACAAGTTTCTACAGTTGATAAGAAAGTGAAAATCCTAGTACTATCAGAATACTCAGTTACAAGATCTCACTCCCTTAGGTCTTAGGTACAGCCAGTTTGACTGGCTGCTGGAACCTGGATAATTCACTCTATCTCTCAGGAGCTCAGCTACTAATGGTAGAAAGAAAACAGTAATATTTACTTCATGGGGTCTGCGTAATAGTACATGTGAAGTGCGGAGCAAATTGTAAAGCACGATGCAAATACACAGGCTGTTGTTTGTTTCTATCTTAACAAACACGCAGAAAACAATTGCAAAGATTTTATTTAGCGGCTTTCTGTGCTTGGCACTTAGAAACAGAGTCCCGTGCATAAGGGCAAATTTTTATACACCTTTTCTTCATACATATTTTACATACCCTTTTTATTGCCCCCTTTTTTAATATTCGTAATATTGGATTCCCCACTAGGCACATAAATACATTTATCTACAACACCTCAAAACCAAAAATCTTAATAATATCTGTATTATTTTACTTGGTATTATTTGCATTTCCACACCACTTAAAAAGTTTAGCTTGTACCAAGCTTCACTTGTTTTCTTATCATTAAAAGATTTGAAGGGGAAAGGGAAGAAGGGGAAAAAAAAAAAAAAACTTCAAAATGCAATGAGCTATTTGATAAACACAGAGCTCTAAGGGCAGATGGAAGGGGGTAGAAGGCCCACCTGGAATTCCCTAAAATAGGAAGGAATTTTTCCTGCCACAGGGACCAGACCAGTGGGCAGGTGATTCAGGTCAGGTGTCTAGACCTGGTATACAGCAGGCCAGGCTTCTATTGGTTGCCTCTGCTTTTGGTATCATCTGTCGGGATTATGAAACTCTTCCTTCTTCACACCCCTTCTATTTCCCTTCGCCTGCTAGGCTGCATGCTATGGATTCGGCACTTCCATGTGGTACACCTCTCTGCTGGCTCACAATGGTCAGAGCAGTGGAATTGAGATGCATTCATTGCCCCAGTCCCTCTCACCAGTGCCCTGGCCATGCACCCCTGTGCATAAGGCAGCGAGTACAGTGTCCCAAAAAGATTTAATCTTCAGTAAAACCATGATTCCTTCTATAACCTGTAGGGGAAAAGAAAAACAAAACAAAATCCAATTTCCTCGGTGCATCCAAACTCTCATCACTGCTCACATTTTCTCTCTGTCTTGCTCTCCACGGCTCTCCTGCTCTCTCTTCTTTCTCTTTCTCTCTCTCCTGCCCAGCTGCTCTCACTCTTTTCATGGGTACCACTGGGATCATCAATGATAGCACACTGAATGAAGAGAGCCAAAGTTTAAAAGCAATCTTGTTCAGGCAGTCAAGTCCAGTTGTAGTACTGATGTCTTTCCACCTTCATCAATGGGAAGTGCTTCCAGGATATAGGGTTCATTCCAGAAACAGGGTGAGCTGCAGGGGAGAAAGGCTGGCAGCCATAGCTGGCCCAGTCCATCTAGGGTTGTACAGACAAATTCTTGGAGAAAGCACCCATTCTGGGCCTCTCTCCACAAAGAGTTCGCCCAGTTCAGAGTCAGTGTACATATGTCTGTAAGTGTTGAGTGCATGTGTGAATACAAACATATGCATGTATCTATGTATAGGTAGGTTTCTGTGTGTGTGTGTGTCTGTGTGTGTGTGACTTGTCATGGCTGCTACACTCTAGCATCTCCCTTAATATTACTATAAAATGATTATTCAGTCTCTTAAAAGGCCACTCTGGAGTAGATGGTGCTTTATAAAGCTAAGGTTTGGATGGCAGGAGAATGGCCCCTGTGTTGGGGATGATTCCACTGCAAGTATCTTTCAGTGGCTTAAAAGTGTCTCTTGTTGTTCCTGGGTATATGTTTTCCTCTTCAAAAACAAACAAACAAAAAAGGCACAGTTCCTGTTTTTCAAAGGCTCCCAAAGAGAAAGATCTGTCCAGGGAAATTCTGGGGCCTTGGCTGGTGTGGGCTCTGTAGTGTCTGTCTGGCCATTAAACCATGTGCACGGACATCTGGGAGGAGGAGCCTGGGACTGCCCCATACTGCCGGCCATCACAGGTGTTGGTTGCCTGCTGATTGTTGGGTGAAGGGCTAATCATGTGCATGCTGTGCTCCATCCCTGTGGGCAGGTACTGCCTCTCTCCAAAAGCCCCATTGGAAGGAGAAGAACAGAGTAAAGTGCTTTGAGAGGCGCTCAGTTTTTCTGGGCTTGCAGCTAGCCTAGGGGAGGTGGGAAAATTGTATCCATACAGGTTGTAGGGGTTGTGGAGGGAGAAGGCATTGTAGGAGCTCTGCTGCATGTGGCTGCCCCCGAACATGTGTGGTGATGAGGAGCTGGAGGCTGCATTGCCTGCTTGCATGACATACTGAAACTGGGAAGTGGGGAAGGATCCCAGCTGGCCACTGTAGGCTTCCATCTTGCTGTTGCTAGGCAACGAAGGAGGAGTTGGTATTCCTGAGATCAAGGATGGAGTCCTCTGAGGCATGAAGGTTTCTGAGGGCTGAGTGGCTGAAGCGGTGCCACTCTGGAGCCTATTGTAACCACTGTCACTCAGCCCTGGATAGCTCTGCAAGGCAGCCATGTTGCTTCGAGCACAGGGTGGATAATCAGAGAGGTTTAGATTACACAGCTGGCTCTCTCGACAGCCCACGTTGAAAGTGTTGGGGGCCAAATGAAAGGTTGGAGGAGAACAGGATGGAGATAAAAGATGAGAAGAAGCTGAAGGGGATGGTGTCCCAGTGCTGGAGGTGGTTGGGGATGTGCCTGTGCTGCCCCCTGAAAAATAAAACATAAACACCATTGAGATAAGAGGTCCCTGGGTAGTGGAAATGCACTCAACTACCAACTGAAAGGTTGGTGGTTCAAACCCACCCAGTGGCGCCACAGAAGGCAGGCCCGGAAATCTGTTTCTGAAAGGTACACTGGCAGTGAAAACCCTATGGAGCAGTTCTATTCTGTAGCATTTAGGGTCCCATGAGTCAGAATTGACTCCATGGCAATAGGTTACCATTGAGACAAAGATTTTTAAGGTCAGTCTATCTAGGCCAGATAAAAGCAATACAGAAGGTGATCTTAAATGTCTAAGATTGTTTTTACAGAACCATTGTTTTCCCTTAACCCAGCTGATTTCTGCTAAGTGATACCACTTGTATACCTTCCCAAGAGAAAACAACAAGGATGAAAGGGGGAAAAAAAAAAAAAAAAAAACTAAATTTTTGTTTGTTTCTCTCTGTAAGAGCCTTAGTAAGACCTGTTAAAAAAATAAAAAATTAATAAATCTTCCATTATTCACTTTGCTATTCTCACCCTCAAATTCACTTTCAAATAAGACCTTTGGCAATCACCATTAAAATCCTAGCTCAGTATTTCCCATTTCAATGGAGATGCATTAAATACAGCATTTTATTCAACATCCAGGGAATGTTGCCTACTTTCCCATATTTAGTCTTTCAGCCAAAAAATAGGATACCAAAGCAGTACTCTAATCTCAGAGGAAAATGAGTACTGGGACAGGATACTAAGTCAGGGCTGGGGCCTGGAAGTGCTAAGCAGAGGTGCCCAGGTAGTGGGGATGAGGGTATCAGATGGAAGTTCTGCTGAATAAAAGATATTATGAGTACAATTATAAAAGTGAGGTTATATATGATCTGAATAAAATAGGGCTAACGTGAAATCAAAGAAGCTCTGATGGTGCAGTGGTTAAAGCGTTTGGCTGCCAACCAAAACATTGGGGCTTCAAATCCACCAGCTGCTCCAAGGGAGAAAGATGAGGCAGTCTGCTTCCATAAAGATTTACAGCTTTGGAAACCCTAGAGGGCAGTTCTACTCTGATGTATAGGGTCACTGCAAGTCAGAATCAACTCAATGGTAGTGAGTGGTTTGTATTTTTAAAAATCTTAAATGAAAATATGATAATCTAAAGGCCCTGTTAATCTCCCTTTAGAAAAGCCTGTCCAATCTCAGGGAGTAGAACAAAGATGGTAAATGGAGTCTTTGGAGTTTGGAGATTTGTAAGGATAGGCAGTTAAACAGACCAAAAAGTAACCTGAAAGTTAGGAGAGATAGGTTCTACTCACAACTCTACCACACACAACACCCACCCCCCAGGGCCCTGGCACATCTCTCTGGGTTTCAGTTCCTTCCTCTAGAACAGAGGAATTGAGTTATCAGTGGTTTCAAGGTTGGCTGCACATAAGAATCATCTACAAGTTTTAAAAATGCTAATATTCCTGGGCTCCACGGATAACCGTCAATGAGAATTTCTGGGGATGGGACCTCTGGGTCAGCATTGCTTTCAAAGCTCCCTAAATGATTCTAATGTGCAGCCAGGGTGGAAAACCAATAATCTAATCCAAACTTCTCATTTCAAAGTACTCTCAGTAGTAATTTTTAGACCTGACCATGCATCAGAGTCACTGGGAGAGCTTGTTAAAACACCTATCGATGACTTCACTCCCAGAGTTTCTGATTCAGTATATCTGTAAGGGGCCAAAGAATGTGCATTTCTAACACATTCTCAGATAATGCTGATGCTATGCTCCTGGTCTAGGGACCCACACTTCAGGTAAAAGGATCTCCAGATCCCTTTCATCATTCAAATCCTGAATCTGTACAGACAGTCCCCAGGTTACAAACATCCAACTTAAAGTCCTTTAGTAAGGGTAAAAAGATTTTTATTCCACGATTTGAGATTACTTATAGACAACTCATACTTGCCCTTTAATGTCATGTAAATTTGCCCTCACTTTGAAACAACTGAACCAACCCCTACTTGCAACAAATTCTTCATCACAATCAAATTTCACTTGCTGCATGTTCAACTTTTAAATAATTGAAAAGGCTTCTAGACTATTCTTGCACTGAAGTAAGGCTAAATATGAACTGTATGCACCTTTTCTGATTTACCTACAAATTCAACCTAAAGACACAGTTAGGAACTGAACTCATTGGTAATCCAGGAACGAAGTCATAAGGGTAGATCTTATAACTGTGGGATAGTAGGACTGGATTGGTTGCTGATGCACCAACAGACACAGGAGGGTCAACTCACTTCACGAGTGTTCTCAGGTAGTTTAAGAATACCAAAAAATGACCTTTGAAAGCTTCCCCTTTCCTGGGGTCAGGAAGCCACAGTTTGCATCCACTTCCTATCTTGCCCAATGGAAGTAGAAGACAGTGATAAATGCCAGGGGTGCTGGGCCCTTCATTTGAATTCTAGAATGAGTGGATGCTTATTTTCCAACAAGACTCTCCCATGATGGAATGCCCTTATTCAGGGCAAGGTTGGGACTTTCCCAGACTTGAGAGCTGTAATTCCCCAAGAAACTTGGAACCTTTTAGGTCATCTGCAACTCAGGTTGGGACTCTTAAAGTCTAAGCTTCTACAAAAGGGCAAAGAACATTTTAAGTGGAAAGCAGGGATCATTTTTTTCAGTAAGAAAAAATGGCAGAAAACAAGCAGAATTCCAGGGATATTGGGATACAGATGCCATCCACACTAGACCAAGAAGAAGGATACCAGATGTATGAATTAAAAAGTAGATGCCTCAAGGAAATCCTAAGTTAAATCAAATCTCCAAAGAAATTTTGGAGAAGGAAAAAAGTCCTCAGCCAACATCCACAGATAGAGCTAGTCCTATTAGTTGTAGAAATCCCTGGGTGACACAAACGACTAACAAGTTCAGGTGCTAACTGAAATGTTGGTGGTTTAAGTCCACCCAGAGACGCTTTGGAAGAAAAGCCTGGTGGTCTACTTCCAAAATCAGCCATTGAAAACCCAATGGAACACAGTTCTACTCTGACACACGTCGGGTCGCCATGGGTCAGATTGACTTGAGAGCAACTGGAATTGGCTAAAGAAACCCAATTTTCAATCTTCTTAAGAGTCAAATTTTCACAAAGCCCAACTAGAACCATCTTTACCCTAGCCAAAGAAAGCAGTTCCCTAGGGCATTTTCAAGCTATAAATGAGGTTACATATAAATAGCCACTGATCTTAGAATCTTTTCAGGAAATTCTCCTTCCTTGTCTTCTTGTTCAAGCCTTAAATTCTTTTATTAGGGGTAAAAAAGATGTTTGTTCTACAATTTGCAATAGGGCCAACATTACAAATACTGCTAGAAGAAGTCAACCAAGCTGGCCATGGTGGGATAAGCACCAACTTTTATTCGAGGTGCATCCACCTCCACCCTGCTGATGACCACAGGCAAGGTAGAAGACCTCTGAAGGCCTAATTTTCCTCATCTGTAAAATGAGGGGCTTGAGCTTGTGGGACCTCATTTCTGTCGTCCTCTACCATTATATCTGTGTATAAGGATTAAAGTTATACTAAGATAAATGACCAATTAAAAGTATTGTCCATATATAAGGGAATAATTCTGGCAGGGAAAGGTTGAGAAGGGGAGAAAGAACACTTCATTCTTCTTGTTTTGGTACCTCTGAATAGCCTAGTCTAAGCTGACTTATAGGAAAGTCAGGGATTCATTTTCTGCAAGCATGTGGTTCCTCTCTGAGGCATTGTACACATATACCTCCTCTTCCACTCTAAATGCCATGAGCTTCAGTGAAATACGTGCTATGGCACAAGTGGAGAAACTTGACTCCAGCTGTAGAGAGACTTGTGTTTTATAGGATATGGATCTGGTCTTTGAAGGTCCGTCCTTGCTCTCTATGAGCTTGTGTTTACGTGATCCCTGAGGAGACCACCTGTTCAGCACACTGTACTTGCCCAGTTATAGGTACACTCAGAGGCATATCTAGGGTATGGGAGATATGGCATGTGCCCTGGGTGCCACTTGAGGGGGGGGGCGCCAATGAGCAGTTTCTATTTGCCATCACAGTTTCCATCACCAGCTGTGAGAGATCATTTGGCATATTTGAAACTAATTGCCATAGGCACCATTTTCCATAGCTACGCCTCTGGGTATGCTCCATCAGGCACTGGTCCTAGCCCTGCAGCAGGAAGCAAGATGGAGCAGATGACTTTTTACAACTCTAGATGGCTTTCTCGGATGGCCCAAAACAGAGCGTGTGGTACTGATTTAAGGACTCAGTTGGTTTCACTACAAAAAAAAAAAAAAAGAACTATTAACAGGTTACAGGGATTTCTGCTGAGCAGATGAGAGGCACATGTTAAAAAGTTTGTAGTCAGCTTCCTTTAGCTTTTAAATGACACTCACTGGAAATGAGACTGGTGGCCTGCTGAGCTTCAGGGGGTAGAAGTCCCTAAATGAACTAGTGTTTGAAGGGAGAGAGCAAGCCTGTCCAAGAGAAGGTCACATTGCCTCTATTCACTTTTAAGAAATGCTCTTATGCACTTCAAGTGCTCATTACCGATAATAGCTATTTTTCAAACTCCACATAGAAAAGACTTTGGTATTCATTTTACAGTGAAGTAAACCAAGATATTGAAAAGTCTTATGATCTAACAGCTTGTCAGTTGTTAACCAAGATTGGGAGTGCCAGCCAAGTGCTAAGAAGTATAAGGAGGCAGCCCACCCTCCCAAGTACTTCAACACTTGGCTGACTAGAGGCCTCTCATCACAGAAAAGCAAGGGCAGAGTGGGAGGCCAGGCCACTCTGATTCAGAAGGGGTCAGAGCTGCCTCACAAAGAAAAGCAACCCATCCCTTCCTGTGTAGCACTTTTTTCCCTTCACTCTCATCCCTTCCCTACTTGCCAGGTCCAGAATGCCCCAAGGGTCTGACAGAAATGTTATTTAATGGATGAACATGGGCTATAGAGTCTGTCAAAGGCAGTTTCCAATTCTGGCTGTCT